CAAAATAAATAGTCGTATTTGTGTGACAAACGTGCTAGTTGGCTGAAATCGATTACAAAATATTGTAAAACGGGAGACAATGGTGGTGCTTAATCATAATAGATTTGTAGAGTGTGGGGTAGGAAAATTGACAAGTCAGTTCAAGGTTATAAAAGGTGTCAGGTGAGTAGCTAGTACAAAGTGGTCTGTGTTAAACAGGAGATAGTAAGACTGAAATGAGATGTTCACAAAGAAATAACCAATTTGTGAAATGAGACAGGTGGAGGCATATATTGAGAAAAGAGATAATATCACTAATAATAAGTCCGGATAGTATAAATGAAAAATTCGATAGTATTGAGGGAATGTTTGCATGAAGGGGATAAATCATGACGAATAATAATAAATAATAGTTGTAATAATAATGTTTGTAAAAATAAGTAAAGGAAAAAAAACCAAGAGGATTAAGGGGAAGGAGCACTCTTGGTGAGAAGAAGAATCATCAATCCAAGTTTGGCCACGGTAGGAACATAGTCTGGACGTGTTCTTTTTGGATACCAAGTTCCGGTTTAGTCAGTCTTATTGCAACAGGTTCATTATTACAAATATTATTATTGCAATTATTATTATTATTATTATTATTATTATTATTATTATTATTCGTCATGATTTATCCCCTTCATGCAAACATTCCCTCAATACTATCGAATTTTTCATTTATACTATCCGGACTTATTATTAGTGATATTATCTCTTTTCTCAATATATGCATGCCTCCACCTGTTTCATTTCACAAATTGGTTATTTCTTTGTGAACATCTCATTTCAGTCTTACTATCTCCTGTTTAACACAGACCACTTTGTACTAGCTACTCACCTGACACCTTTTATAACCTTGAACTGACTTGTCAATTTTTCCTATCCCACATTCTGTGAATCTATTATGATTAATCACCACCAATGTCTCCCACTTCCCAATATTTTGTAATCGATTTCAGCCAACTAGCACGTTTGTCACACAAATACGACTATTTATTTTGACACTCCATAACTGATCTGTTATTCTGCGTTAAAAATGTATCCGCCACATAACTGGCTATCATTATTGTAACGACAACAAATGCATTATATTTTATAATTGTAAGGACCTGAAGAGTAAGATGTATTGAAAAGAATATTCTTCGTTCAGATTGACTTTTAATTCATAATATAGGAATATTTCACGCTATCAAACCACATAGAACAACCTAGTGACATAATATAGGTGACGGAAATCAAAATCTTGTTCTCTGTGCTGAGTGCATCAAATTTCTAAGCTGATTTCAGAATAATGAGGGTCTCCCTTGCCTTCGTAATTCTGCCTGTGACCTTTGAACTTTTTCTTCTGTATTTATAGATAGTGTCTCTTCAGTTAAATAGCAGTTTACTATTTGAATAGTTTTATACCCTTCACTTATTGTCCAGTACTGTCTATCAGGTTTAAACGAAATCAAATAGCAAAAGAACTATTAAGCTGTTCTAACTGTAGCATATTCTGTTTAATTCGTTATTTAGTGCTGAAAATAATTAGAAGTTAATTTGAAATAAGACAACCTTTGCCTGTGACATCTAAACACCTTCACTAGCAAGTCTAACCTCTCCATTTATCATGCAATCAACTATCATTCCTCTCTTTTTTTCTATTCATCAAAGATCTTATCACGTATATAACGTTGAACAGTTTGTTTTTAAGAATTTAAGTCAACCAGGAAAGTGTATGACCTTAATTATTAGTTAACTATTTCGCCTGGAACAAATCGAATCCCTATAAACTAACTCTTGAAAACTAATCTAATGCTTCCTGATGACTATCTATAGAACAAAGCTGTCTGGAATTCTAGTGAGAATTCTTGACCAGTGGGATCCACAAGTTCTTTAGTGGGAATAAATACTCGCCACCGATGATATTGACAGATGGTTGTATTAAGATTACGCACTGGTGTAAGTTAGAATTCATGGGCTATTAGATCGGGTTCCAGTAAATACCAGTTTACCTCCATTATGGATAAGATTTTATTTTGATAAATCACACAGTGTTGTTGTACAGTAATATTAACTGATGCGACCACGTTTCGAGCACAAACTATTGCCACTCATAATCATATCAAGTCACTCACACAACTTTCATGCTTCATTTATATACATGTGGAGTAACACAAGAAAAGAGCCAAGTGAGAAAATAAAACAGATAGACGAAGCGTTGGTGTTAAATAACTAACCATCCTATAAAATTCATTAGGAAGATCAGTAAAGGCCAAAAACAAAGTAAAAAATAATTGTGAAACTAGTAATGATAACATAAATAAGAGAGAATATAAGTCCTCCACTGTTACACCATATAAGGAGGGGACATTTAAGACTCTACGTAGGATTCTTAATAAAGCAGATATTAGGGTGGCATTCAAAGCCTCCAACAAACTCACTCAGAGACAACCTCTGTAGACTAAAAGACCCGGTGGACCCAAGTAGACAAAATAATATAATTTACAAAATACCCTGCAATGACTGTGAGTTAAGTCGACTACATAGGTCAAACTAGTAGGTCGAGAGTGATCAGATTATCAGAACATAAGAATTTAGCTAAGGGAAGAATGGTTTGACTCCGATAAGATAAGTAATTTAGAAAAGAAGCTCAGCAGTTGCACTTCACGCACTAACACACAACCACGCAATAGGGTGGGAGAGGGTTAAGATTCTAAGAAGTAATCTAGGTAGATGGAGAGCATGAGAGGTTGATTACTGAATCCTCGTTCATCGAGTCTACACACAACGCATGCAACAGAAAGGATTCAAAGCAAATACCAGAAATATGGAAGATCTTATTACCACCAGTCAGTTAAATCAGAGGAGGATAATAAATAATCTTAAATTGTATTCTATCTCAATTCAAGCACATCACAACATTCTAACAAGTTACTTAATATGACTATAAAAACACTCGTCTTATTTTCCATCTGATTGTACTTGATCAATAACACTCATATTATTATTTCTGAATGTACAATATCCTACATTGATTTTTATTCAAATGTCTAATCACCAATTCCACACATGTATATAAATGAAGCAAGAAAGTTGTGTGAGTAGTGCCTTGATATGATTATGAGTGGCAATAATTTATTCTCGAAACGTCATCATTTAATATTACCGTACAACACTGTGTGATTTATCAAAATGAAATCTCATCCATAATGGAGTTATACTCTCTACCACAATGCCCAAGTTTTATACTTATATCAATAACAATTAGCTTTCTAACCTGAAGGCCCTGGTTTCGAACTCCAAGCGGGTTCGTCTTGATAAACAGTGCCAAACTTCGGTGAAACACCGCTTGAATACTCTGTAGTTTCCAGTGGTTCTCTAAATGTTGTCATCTCGTGGCCAAACTCAAAACCAATCGAACTCCTATACACTAACCCTAGAAAATTTTAAGGTAATTGTTGTATCCATGTGGCTGTAATGAAAAGTAAGTTTGCTTAGTTAACATTGGATAAACTTTCGTGGAATACAACACTTTCCACTCTACTTTATGACGTAATGATATGTGATATAAATCTCATCATCTTTTTTATGAGATTTTACGGTTCTGTATGCAGTCATGAATTATTATTATTATTGTTATTATTCCCTTATTGAATTAGAAAAAACTCAGAGAAATGAAGTGTTAAATCTGATTAGTAATCGCTAATAAAGATGAATATTTGTTTATATGAAACTCAATCCCTTTTATTATTTACATTTTTGATTATACATAACTTGCAAAATACTACTATATACTTAACCTTTACTCTTTTCCAAGCTTACTGTTGGTAAAGAAACTTCACGAAGTATTAGGAGTGCCTAGGCCGGAAGTGAAACCCTGACTAACTGACTGACTGGTTTCAACATAGAACTTTCCACTGATGTGCAGCAGTTCGAGTCGCCATACTCCCTCCATGTAGCACACAAAGTCAGAGAAGAGGAAGAAAGTAAAACGAAATGCAAAACAGAGATAGTAATCAGTGAGATATAAGGCAAAAAGAATAGTAATATCGAAGAACAATATAGTTTCATTGGAAATTATAAGTCACAAGAAGTGGATGCCCCTGCGCCAACCATTGAGAACGATTATGAGCCATATCACCGATTGTTTCTAGCCATTGGATTTTACCGTCCTGAGGACCCCAATCAGGAAGTCTAAATCTCCCTATGTGGTTTAAACTAAACTGTTGTGGATTTCATTGACTGATGAAGCCATGTTTTCGTCTGACCATCACTATCTAACTCTTTTACAACCTGAAGAACCCTATGTCAGCTAACATTGCCCGTTGTTGAGGAAGGCGATGGCTAGGCATGGGTAGCACATGTCCTAACCATCTCAGTCGGCACAGCTTCACAACCTCGTCGACTGATTTCCCCTCCTTAACTAGCAATCGAACGATGCCTAACCTCAATATTGCTCACCTTATTATATCACAGCTAGCCTTCTCATGTCTTCCACTCTCAATGGTCAGGTCTCACAGCCAGTCAGGAGGACGGAGCGGAGTGCTGAGCAGCGCACATGTCTTTTGGTCAATAGCCAGATATCACGTCTACTAAGCCAGAGACGGCGTAAACTGACATATGCGAAACTAGCTTTCTATATCCATCCGTGCTCAGACTTCGTCGGCGGAATTGAAACCCAGACCATGAGTATGGCTCACAAGCTGACATAACATTACCAGGGCAGTGTGTATGCATGTTATTCAAAACCCTCTTCAAAACTGGCACGTAACCATAAGGTCGAGTAGCATACGGTCTCCTTTAGCACATATGGTAAGATAGAGTCAAGAGAACATCATCAGAGCATCTGATATGCTTGATAACCCATATGCATAAAAAACACAAGAGACCCTATTGTAGTCTGAATTTACCTCATCATATTGACATATATGCATAAATTGTTATATATATATATATATATATATATATATATATCCCTACTTATCTTTTATACATTAAAGATGGCAAGTGAATTGTGAACCACGTACAGATCTCCAGACAGTTCAACAAACAGTACCTGATGCTGAAGATGATGACAGTGGTAAAATACGACCCATCTCTGATAGTTTACCATTGAAAATTTTTAATAATTATTTTTCACTTGGTGCAGATGCAGCAACAGCACTGGAATTTCATGAATCTAGAGGTGAGTACAAAAACGTTGGAAAAGAATGTTACTTTTTTTTATTTTTGATTTACAGCTTGATTCCACACTGTATTTTTGGTACATGTATGGAATTTTCAGCATGGATATCGGTAGCCCAGATTTTGCAGGCCGACCATAGATATCAGGTGTGCGCCGGCGTGGGCTCGAACCCCGGAACATGTGCATGGTCGGCGAGATTCCTAACCACTGTGCCACCGACGCAGTGAATTATTTATCATACTAATACATATATATGTATATATAATACCATAGGATAAGAAAGTACTTTAGCTGATATTGTATTTTCTCCTAGGAATCTTTGTGTTCTTTAAGCAGGTTATTTGAAATGTCATTTATTATCGTGAAGTGCAGCACTATCTAAAACAAACCAGTGGAAAATAGACAATACTATGCACCCACTTTCTCATTTCCGGCTACTGACATTCACTGAGGTTAGTTACTACTGTGAAGCTTAGAGACTTATTACTGGCCTACTTTATTATTATTATTTTTTTATTAGTATTCTCTTGGGCTCCGAGTGGAACATAAGACTTCAACAACACATCTCCACCTTCTTTAACTCTCTGCTGTCCTCTTCACTTAGATCCTTGATCACCTCTAATCTCTCATCTCTTCCTCCCCACGCTATCTCCTTCATGTCACCCTCGCACTGACGACCGACTGGGATTCCCCTCGAGTGATGGCCTGCATTGAGCACAATGTCATTCGATGGCCTCCTCAGTGTATGCATGATCCATCGCCATTTTCTCCTACATATTTGTTCAGCAACTGGCTCATGACTGGTTCGTTCCACTGAAGACTTTTTCGTTCGCAATTCTTTCTGGATATTTGACCTTCAACATGGAACCAGCGGAGGAGGCGACTGTTGACAAGAGTCTATGACTCGTTGAAAATCTTTCTCGTGATACGCTGGCCAAGTTTCTGACCCGTATAGAAGAATAGACTGACTGACTGACTGACTTCATATTTGCGTTGAAAATTCGAATCTGCTTCTCTACGCTAACAGAGTGAAGTAGAAGATTTCCAAACTGGTTTTAGGTTGTTGAAGGTGTATCTTGCCTTTCCGATTCTGACTGGTTTTAACATATTCATCCGCCTGTAGTTGAAATGAGGCTTCTTAGCCAGATAAGTGAAGGAGGTAACCTAAGTCAAATCTCTCCCGTTGATGGTGATTGGTGCTAGCTGTTGTTATTGTTGTTGCTGTTGGTGTTTATCGTTTATCTTCATCACTTCTCTCTCACTCGTCTACTAAACTACCAGTAAAATAACTTAACAGTCAGAACACCTTAAGACTACACGATATATAAGCAGTTGTTCACCGTTCATATTAATTAGTAGTGCCTGCTAAACAAGTAGATCGAAGTAATCTATACACCAGACAGATGTTCCTCTCGTCTGGTGCCGAGCTCATGGGCCTTCTATCTATTTTGACTTAGCTTAAAGAATGGATAGTGAACAAAGAATACTCTTTTCGATAACCCCTTCTTCATCAGGCTCTACGGTTATATACACCTTGTGGTGAATGAATGAATTAGTGTTATGAACAACATTAATGTTGTTTAAATAACATCGAATCAATAATATCGATAGATTACAGCTCAGTAGCATCAACATAAAATAAACTGAATGTCAGACAGACAAATTAGGAGAGATAATATTACAAATTCATGAATTTATAGCCTCTACTGAAGACCGTCCAAAGCAGTAGTAGGGGCTGGCTGGACTTGCTTCTTTTGAATACAGAGCACTGGTTGTTTCACCCGAATTGCAATATCGTCTGTTGTTTGGAGAATGCGGTGTTTCTATGTTTTTGGCAATTTATTAGGCACCCGGTAGATGATAGAGAAGGATCCTTCCACCCTGGCTGGCTTTGTGGCCGGTTCGCACCAGATGGTCTAATATCGAACTGGTAATGGTTTTCACTACACCTTTACTTAGCCATAATGGGAGATGCTCCCAGGTAAGCACGAAAAACCAAGTTCCTAGAGCAACGGCCAATATAACTCGCTCCATCACAAGCGCAGTTGAATTGGTAGATACAATTAGAAGTGGCCAGCTAGTCTAAGTACTTCATCTTTCAGTCGAGGTAGCAGCATTGGTCGTGTAGAGAATGAGACGTGTAGTTCGCCAGCATCAAAAGTTCTTTGAACTGATTTTCTTAATTTCTTCGTAATTATCTCACTTTGCATATAGCCCTTGAATTGTAGTCGTATATAAAGTGGCTTCATGTTTACAGATAGTCAGTGGTCCTTTTCCGCTTTCTTTGTCATGTGTTTCTTGACAAATAAATAAGCGAAACATCTGTCAGGTGCTTAGTTCACTTCTATCTGACTGGATATGATTGGTACACAACTACTCACCTAAATCAATGAGTAGTATAAAGCTTCTGGTAATCATGGTTGCTTTCTCGATTACTACTTATGGCATCAAGCAGACCACAAATTGTGTTAGGTATAATCTCTGTTTCCATCAGGAAACTGTAGCGAAATAGTTACCGTGAACTATGTAAACTGTTAATTAATTTATAAATTACAAATTTGGCTTTTAGGAGGAGAGAGTTATTTCCGTAGTCCGATCTCGAAGTCATCAGTTATTAAACTGAATTGATTTACCTAGCAAAAATGTGTTGTTTTAAACAACCTAAATTAAGGATATTTAGTTAAACATTGAGAGAATGTATTAAACCAAATCATGTATTTACTAAATAGAATCTTTAGGTATAGTTCCGTTTTTTGAGCTCAATCTAACCAAATAACTCATCTCAAATATGTGAAATGATCACCGGCTATGTAAATCACCCTGATATGGCTACTGGTGGATGATGATAGTGATTTGCAGTTCTCCTACTCTGCATCTTATTATCATTGTTCCCTTGAGTTCCTAGTGGAACATAAGGCTTCAACTGCACGTCTTCACATGCTTCTGCCTTTTGCTGTGCTTTTCACATGCATCCATGTCAGTTCATACTGTTCCAACTCCTCTTCACACGATCTCCTCCATGTCACCCTTGCACTGACGTCCCACTCGCCGCTTCCCTTCGGCCTGGTTCCACTCGAGCAATGGCCTGATGCGCGCGCGATGTCACCCACAGGCCTCCTCAGCCACGAGTGTCCAATCCATCTCCACTTTCTCCTGCATATTTGTTGGTTGGCGATTGATTGGTTCTTGTTTTGTTTGTTCCCAGCCATAGTTTCCTGTTGGTGATTCTTTCCGGCCTGGCCATCTGATCTTCAGTATAGAGCCAGCGAAGACAGTTGTTGGTTGATAAAGTTCTGCAATAGCCTGTTGGAAATATTTTTTGTGACCAGTCTGCTACGTTTCTGATCCGTATAGAACAGCTGACTGACTTTACGTTTGTATTGAAAATCCGAACGGATTTTGTTGTTGATGCAGGCTGAGTGACGAAGATTTCCAGATTAGTTTCAGGTTGATGAATGTGTTTCTCGCCTTCCCGATTCTCGCTCGATTTGACATCCTTGTCCGTTCCTCCAATATTTGAGACAATACTCAGCGTCTTAACAATATTTCAGTTCATTGACAATGCCTATTAAAAATTTAAAAGACTGATTAATGAATATAGAATATTCAGATTTTCCTTCATCTTTCTTTCTCCAGGTTCTATATTTAAATAACTACAATAAGTAAAGAAATATTGTTATTAATAGTAACATGAATCTTGTTTTAAATTACATTGAATCAATAGTTAGTGTCGATAGATGATTACATTTCAAAAGCATCCGTAAGAGAGATACAATATGTACTGATATAACATTAAGCTGATTGAACATCAGATAAATTAAGAGAAGTGACAAAGAATCTATGGATTCATAGGTTCGCCGGTGGGGCCAGGATAGCAGTACTGGCTGACAGGACCTGCTTCTTTTGCACTCAGAGCTTTGGTTGATTTAGGCGAATACTAGTGGCTTCTGCCATCAGAAGATTTCAGTACCTGGATATCTTTCATAATCTATTTGATACCCTATAGATGATAAAGAAGGGCTTTTCAGCATGACTACCTTTGAGACCTGTTTGGACAAGATGAACCATTACAGAACTGCTCACACTTTTAACAACACCTTTATTTAACTACACTAGTAGATGTACCCGAGAACAAAAAATTAACTTTCTAGAGCAATAGCTTATATAACTGGCTCCACAGAAACAGTTGAATTAATAGATTCAATTAAAAGTGGCTGGCTAGCCAAGGCATTTCATCTTTCCACTTGTTATATCCCCCTTTGAATTGTAGTTCTATATACTGAGGCTTCTTATTAAAAGATACAAAGGAATTCTTTTCAGGGTAGATGTTTTTGCGATTAACATGTCATTTGCAACCTTAAATTCGTTTTTATTTGCATCTTTTGAACAAATATAGCTGTGACCTTATACCTGATGGTCTCTACCACATTTCTCTTAAACCAGTGAAGAATAAACCTGTGCGAATGTGTGTTTACTGACAAGTTCAATTAGTTTTCTTATACAAAGTCCTTTCTTCGCTGTGATAACAATTATCCCATTCATTACAGAGAGGGAAACAGCCTTTTAAACAATACCTCAGGTTGATCATTTAGTTAGCAAACTCCTAATTTACAGTGGCAATTCCAGGATGGAATTAACTCTCAGACTGGTATTTAATATACATATATATATATATATATATATATGCACTAGAGTTTAGTTGAGTTAAGTCCGGGAATTTCCACCCCTCCCCCCTTTCGACTTAAACTTCAAAGATTATTTTAATTTATGCAACCACTTGACTGTAGAAATTTAGTTTTCAGTCAACCGAAAAATTCTTATATTAACGGTCTAGTGATCTTGTTTAGAGAGAAAAGAAAAACGGCAGTGTAACTATTTTTATTTTTTACTTAATTTTTCCGGGGGTGGGGTGGGGCAGGGGATTAAAAAAAGTAAACCAAACATCCTAACATTGAGGAATCAACGTGGAGTCGTTGTTTGATTTTGTTGTGCGGTTCTTT